TGTAACTGGGAAACCCAGAATGAGCACTTAGAAGGACTGAGGTGTAGCTCACTGGTGCAGGGACCTGGGTTTGATCTGCAGCTCACAGAAAACAAACAACAACAAAACTTAAAGGATATTCGAATTCTAAAATTAGTTAGACCTTGCATTTCAGAGTTCAAAGCTCCAAAAATGTGCTGTCCAAATCAGTACGTGTGATTAATTTGTTTTGCCGCCCTCCGCAGAAGTGGAAGCAGCTGGTGTGCGAGACTCCAGAGCTCGATTCCCGAGGAAGAACAAAGGGGACGCGGGGCCCCGCCCCCTCGGAGCAGCCGCGGACTCCCTCGGGCACTGCTGCAGGGGCGGCTCCGAGCTGCTCCCTGGAATTAGTTTAGGAACCCTGGGTTCCGCAGTCCAAGGGGAAGAGGGGCGTCGTGTTCCTGCAGTATTACTATTATCAGCGGGCTCTTCCATGTAATCTCTCCCTGAAGGACACTTTTATATAGTAACGCTTAAAGGGTCGCTCCCCTCCTCGTTTCTCTTCAGATAAACAAATATCTGGCCTCTTCCTGGATCCAGCTCGATTCACTAAAAGTTAATATATATCCACGGCTCTCTTTTACTCTGTTCTTCAAATACGGAGGGCTCAGGGCCTATCTGGTTGGATCCAGACCGTGAGGGCTACAGGCCAAGTCTTCCAGTCCTTATTTGGGTGTTTCCGATGCTACTGGATGAAAGGGTCCTGTTTTGAACCACAACTTGTAATTAATGCCCTGCTCTGACGGAAGGTGGGAATCCAATGTCAAAACCGGAAACTGGCAAACAGCGTGACTTCTAGCCAAGTGTCCATCTAGGAAAGTGTTTGTCTATAGATCTTTACTCGTAACTAGAAGAAAACCCGGGATGTAGGATTCTTCACTTAAAGCTATGAATCCTGCAAGGGAAGCGGACTAGAAGGTTACTTCCCAGTCACCTGGACAAGGTGAAAGACAGGCTCCGTAAGAGAAAACACCTGCTCAATAAGGGGCGCCCTGAAGAGAGGGAAGTTGCAGTGTGACATCGCCAGTTCCAGCTCCCGGCAGCTGCCGCCTGAAGAGCAGAAGCCCAGCCTGCCATCTTCCTGTGCGCTTCAGCCATAGGGGGAGAAAGGTGGCACCATGATTCTCTCCCAGTGGATGACGATGACGTGTTCTAAGCGGCCGAGTGCAGAGGCTGCTGTCAAATGAGGGGAGAGAGAAAAGAAGTGGGGAGAGGAGGAGGGACTCCAGAAAAGGCGAGCAACGTCCCTGGAATAAAAATGAGGCAGAAATGACAAACACATCGACCTTGAAACTCAACTCATTTTTCCTGCTTGACACATCCTCATTTTCCCAATTCGCCTCATAACTGATTTTTACGTTTTGCAAATCCCATCAAAGCAAGAATAGCTGCAACCCCATCCGTAATAGGTTCTATTTTTCACTCTTATCTAGAATCGTCTAAAATAACAATGTTACCCTAAAAATCAAACCTATCCTTCTTAGCTTCAGAAAGCATTCAAAACCGTTACGCCCGCTGAAACACCGCCTAACAAAAGTATCGCAGGCCCCTAGCGCTCTGTTCTCGACAGAAAGGCCGGGCGGCTGGGCCCATGCCCGTTATTTAGCCCCTTCGGTTCCGGGAGCTTCCGCTCTGGGCAGTGTGCAGCGAGGCCCACGCCTTCCCTGGAGAGCATTGAGCTCTTTGTCCCTTCTCAACAGCAGGCGGCGCTGTGTCTGCAATCCGCGGCCGCCGCCCTGGGGCCACAAAGGTCCTTTTTCCCCTGCAGCCGGGAGAGAGTGTGGCTGCCACGCCCTTGCTGGTCGGCGTAGAAGTTGCCTTTTTTCCCTCAGCGCTGCCTGTAACGTTTCTGAAACGCTGTGCGCTTGTGACAGCCAGTGCTATTTGAAAACTTACCTCTTGGCGGTTTTTGAAAGACTGGAAAAAAAACAACAAAAAATTGAAATTTCGTAATCAGTGATCTTTTTAGAGATCTCAAATGCAGTTCAACTAATTTGAATAAAAAGTGCCTCTAACAAGGCAAATAAGGCGATGTATACTGAAAATCAGAAAGCTTTTTTTTTTTTTAAATCCCCTTCCTGTTTTTGCAGACTTCTCGCAGCCGCGGAGAACAGCTCGCGAAAATTCAACTGCGGCGCCATCTACTGGACACACGCCGCGCTACCAGGTCCTGCGGGCAAGGAGATGTCGAGGTTGCAGATAAAGGCCCGGTTTTTTGCCCAGGAAAAGCTCGGACACCAAGGTAACATTCACATACAGTCTACTTTTCTTTTACTTTTTTTGTGCGAGGAATCGAACCCAGGGCCTCGAGCTTGCCATTCAGGCGCCGTGTCTCTGAGCTGCATCCCCAGCCCTACAGTCTGCTTTTTCTACAGAGACTAAACTGACCCTGTAATACAAAATGGTGTCCTTGTTGAGGAGTCCTTGGACTTTGTAAATGAACTTGCATTTATTATATAGCTGGTCTCTTAGGAAAGCCTGGAGTTTCGGGAGGCGAAGAGGCATAATTTCATTACATCAACACTCTCTCTGGCTCAGGGCCGAAAGCTAAAACTATGTTTTCTGTCACTCACTACACACGGATGTCAGGGACAGAAGTCACAGGGTACTTGTTCTCTTAAATGAAAATGATTTTGCTGAATGGAAAGAATTTCAGAGGTGAAGAGGGTGGCAGAAATAAAATTAATCTGAGAGTTGGGAGGTGTTAAAATGTAGCCTTGGTGGTACTTGATATAAGATCATTAAGCCCTGCTACCGTTTTCAAACTCTTAAGTCAGTTTTGATTCAGTTGAAGATTTTTCTATTTAGGAGACCACAAATCCTTTCCACATAAAGGTCTAAATCCATTTGTGAACACATTTATATACATACAGTACTTCATGATAAGCCTGAATTCACCATTGTTGCAGATTTTGTTGGAGGAAAATTGCCAGTTCTTGGGGAACTGGCAGAAAGCAGAATGTTAGAACAGATTAGAGTTGGACCACCTATCTGAGAAAATATGGTATTACTGATAGAAGCATTTGTAATGGAAACATGTTTTCAAACATAGTTTTCACTCTGGAGCTTGATAATTACTTTTTTTTTTTTTTTTTTTTTTTTTTTTGT